TAATTTACTTTGTGTTATCTTATCGCGCGCGCAGCTGTATACTATTTAATATTTTCCCGCTGATGTCAAAAAAGAAAAACTTAACAGAACCGAGTCAACAAATGGAAAAAAATATACTTGCCGTATAGTACATATATTGTTTAATGTTTTTTTTTTTGTTCGTTATTGTTACTAACATTGCGCATGTTCTCGTCGCTTCAGAACAACAAAGCTAGCCGTAATTAGTCAGCGATGCAGCCAGTTGTTTGGCACAGTTAATAAAAACAAGTCTACGCTTGTAAACACGCATATCGCTCCATTCTTTTTGTGCACGTAAACAATTAAAAAATACATATATGCAAAGATATCTGCCAGCGTCATAAGTTTCAAAAATTGCGAAAAATTGTGTTCCTTAATTATTATTGTGCTTTCGAAATTCGGCGAAAGGAAAATCGACAAACTCATAATTAGTCGACACTACATACATACATACATATAACAATCACCGCAATCAATCAGTCGCTCCACAGTGACTTCAACAAATCTAACATCTAACGTTCAAAATAGTATCGTTGAAAAGTTGGCGTATCTACATACATACATATATATAATTCATAGTAAATAGCAGTTAATTAGTCAGTCGGTGTCTTATTGCCAACGCAATCATTGCCACAACAACATCCGTTATGCAACAACAAGATGACGAAAAATCATTGTACGCGACAATGCGTCCCGCCCGTGGCGGCCACAGCCTGGTCACATTCAGTACCTATGAGGCACGTAAGCAAATCGCTGGCCCAACACAGCGTCCCCCCTGTAACTTAGTGCATATACATACATATTACATACTCTAACATATACATGTACATATATGTGTATCTAATCATCTTATTGTTAGTGCAAGCGCAAGTACACATTTGTACAAAGAAGCTGTGCTGTAGACAAAGCATCCGATTGGACAATTAAAAGATCTGTGTTTATGAATATTTATGTATCTTCTTACAATTATTCACTTGCATTCATACAATCGTTTATTTTCGTTTATATGCCCGAGCTGACCACCTGACTTTTGTGTCGCATATTTTATAGGAACGTCAAGAGGCGCTACGCAACACAGCCATCATGGAGGATGATGTAAATCATCGCGCAAGTCGCGCTTTTCGCAATGATAATGGAACAACAACAACAACAAATGGCACACAATTTCAAATACCACCACCGGTGAGTGAGACTAAATTTAGTTATGGATTGCAAATATAATTTTGTAAGTGTGTTTATACCAGTTTTTTTATTTTTTTATTTTTATTTTACAAACTTTAACTTAACTTGCTATGTTCGAATGTATGTACGTATGTTTTTTTTTGGGTCAAATCTTGCAATCAATTTTTAACCAATTTCCAAATAAGCTAAAAACTTTAAACTTAGCTCAGAATCCGTTGGCAAAGTAATATGAAAGATACCAAGATTTCTATCATGTATGTATGTACATGAATTTTCAATGCGTTTGACAAAGAATTTTCTTTCGATTAAGTTGGAATTTACAATTGACGCAACAACCTCTTTCGATTGAAGTTCTGTTGCCAAATGCATATTTTAAGAAACTTGCTTTCTCAAATAAACTCACGGCATAAAAACCATTTACTATTTTACAGAACAACTTGTATCGTACAAGATGATTTTTTGTTTGAAAAACCATTTGACAAAAGGTTTAATTTATATATCGATTGCTGAGTGGAAGATCGACCTATCTCGGCAACCAGTTCGAAAATGCTCTATCTCTAAAAACTTTTCAAGAACGCCTTATTTCAGAATTCGTTTCAAAAACGCCCTATCTCAGCTGCCGATTCAAAAACGCCCTATATCAGCATATTTTCAATACATTTTGAAGTGAGATAGGGCGTTTTTGAACCGAATTTTGAGATAGGGTGTTTTTCAATTAAATTCTGAAATAAGGCGTTCTTGAAAAGTTTTTTGAGATAGAGCGTTTTCGAACTGGCTGCCGAGATAGGTCGATCTTCCACTCAGCCATCGATATTTTCTATTTATTTACACAAATATGATATTTAAATAAAGAAAAATATTAAAAAATTCTTGTTTATTGATATGTGTCCAGTTTTAACAAACATTTTTCCTTCATCTTAAAAAACTTATGTTGTGGAAAGCATTTAATATATTTTTTCGCTTTCCTGAAAATTTTGTAATTTTGAAAGAGGTTGTTTTGTCAGAAGAATGAAATATCTATACGAATCTAGCAAACTTTTTATTCTATGAAGCAACTTTACAACCGTGAACTCCCCTATTAAATATGCCTCCCTTGGCCATGGCATATTAACTATAAACCGCTCAGAAATTCGGCACAGTAATAAGCCACGCTTGTTTTACCTCACTGCTCTGCCCATTATTGCGTAGCTTCGACATTAGAAAACCCAGCAACGACCGACAACAAGATTAACTAGGAATTAGGAAAGGTCATTCCTACGTCGGCATAATCTGAATTAACACTGACATTGGAACTCTAGTTAAAATAGCGAAGCTCTGGGAAACCGAGCCATAGCCAAGGGCCATGAAATGGATTTCAAATTAAATAGGGATGCATATCGAACTTTATATGTAGATTCATCTATCGTACACGTTCTACAAAAATCTATTAATTCAAAATCTGTAATATTTGAAATTATGCGCTAAAAAATGTTTGTTTACCTTCCAGAAAAATCGGCACCAAAATTTCGTTAGCTGCGGTTCTGACAAACGGCGAATTTTTGGAGTTAATACGCTTTTAAACAACGTGTACAATATACATATGTATGTATGTATTTATACTAGGGTGTCTCACTAAAAAAAGTTGCGGTTTTCCACCGGAAATATACATTTTTTTTATATCTTATGTAAGATTGCCGCCAATATATTTGGGAAAACTATTAAGATTTACGCGAAAGTTTTGAACTGAAAAATTTATTTTTTTGTAAAAATCCTACATACGACAAAAACCCATATACTGTTATTGTTATTCACAATTGACATTGGGAGTGGAATAACAACTCGATTTTTTGCAAGTCAAGCTCAAATATTTACACTAGGTCAAAGCTGGCAATCTGGAGGGACATGTGTGTAAGCCCGACTACATGTGTTATTATTTTTAATTAGTTAAAAGAATGCGCCATTGAATTAGTATTAATTCCATTTATGAGGTCTTCCGGCAAACTTTGTCTGTTTGCTGTTATTATGCATGATTTAGACAACCGAAGAGCAAACATATGCATATATCGTTTTAACACGATAGAAATGTGTTCTTGAAGTTAAGTGGAGGATATTTGCTTTACATGCCAAGTACTATATGCGGTTAAAGTAGTTAGTACCGGAAGCAAAAACTTTGAAAATGACTCATACGCCCTGTTGTACGCGCCTTTATTTGCGCAATTTCATTTTTTTTTTTTACTTTTATTAATTTGCGCAACAAACTTTAACTACTAACCAAATTCGTATTACAAATAATAAGTTTACTTGTTCTCTTGCAGCCACCACAATTCGCCAGTTCGCCACCGCGAACGCAACCACAGTACACAAACAACGGCAACAACACGAATAAATTCGCCCAACAACCACAGGCGCAACAAAAACCAATCAACCATTACAATTGTGCGCCAGCACTCAAACCGCCCACAGAAGAACCGCCCAAGCCGCCAGCCACCCCAGTGCCCGATTATGATAATGTGGAAATACGTACAAAAGCAACTACAACTATTTGTAGCAGCGTAAGGCCGTCGTATGGCTATGCCAGCACCAATGTAGTCACAAATGGACGCGACGTACTCAATGACAACTGCAACAACCACAACAATCACCACAACAACTCCAGCAATAGACGCACACTGCGAGCGGGGACCATAACCATCGGTGAATACGAACAACCGCAGCAGCGACGAGAACCGGGTAAATTTGATTTTGTTGGAACGCCAAAGCGTAGCAGCAACGGTACGACAGATGTGTGTGCAGATAATCTGCAAGCGGAATTACAGAATACGTTGACGCGTTCAAAATTAAAGAAAACAGCCGAGCCGTTGGAGCATCAAAGCCACTGTCCGCTACGCAATAACTACGAGAACTATGAGAATGTGGCAAGGAAGTTGCATAGCGTGAGCATAAATGAGGTAGCCACAACGGCGGCGCCAGCAGCAGTAAGAATGAGCAACTGCGCTGCCAATGGGGGCACGAATGGCATTCTGAAGAATGGCAATCGGCATAGTGGTGGTGGTGCGAATGGTGCGAAAAGCTCCGATAAGACAATAACTTTTGGTAATTGAAAATTTGGGAAAAGCCTGGTGGCAGTTAAGCTTTCAACGGAAAATATTCAGCTGCGGTGGAGAAGAATATTTAATACAAAAAAAACACAAATGCATACCACAATTTTGTTAAGATATCTAGCCATATTGTTAAAATGTCTGTATAAACAAAAAAAAAAAAGTTAAAAACTAAATCTAAGGGTATATTGTATGTTTAAGTGGTAACTTAAGTGCGAGTACATATGGTCACAGTGCTTTCAAAAAAGTTCAAGAAAAGTGCGCTAAACTTTATATTTTGACCTTTTCGTTTCATACATTTTACGAAATGTGATATTTCTTTTAATTATTTTTTTTTTTTTTAATTGAAACAAAAAATTGCTTTTTGTCCCTTCCACGCGTCAGTAACGATTTTGTTTCTACGAAAAGCTTCTTCTTCATATTGTGCAATAAATTTTACAGATATTTGCGTTAGGCCAACACACACATCTGCTCAATTATGCTATGTATTATTTTTATATTATTTTATGTCTATATTTCTTATTTGTATAATATATAAAAATATATATTTCTATAACAAAAATCGTACGCATAAGCAATTGTTATCACATTTATAACTTGGTAATAAAATCCGGTATGTACATACATGCATACATACATACATACAGATATATAATTACGTACATACATACATATATCATAAGTTTTTTTTTCATCTGATATTTAAAGCAATTTCCTCAACCCTCACTGGCGTCCGAGGCTCATGCAGTAACTAGCCACCGAATGTGGCGCCGAATGCACCAGCGCTTCCACCTCCTCGTCCTCCACCAACACATCTGTGCTCGAGAATGGGCTGCATCCAGATATGTTGAAGAACATAGGCTGTGACAAACGTATTGTGGCAATACGCTCACGCCACGTATTCCACAACAACTATAAATGAAACAAGGTTACATTTGTAATATACATTTAAATATATTCCGCACGCTTACCACCCACTTCACCAACAACGTTACTTACATTTTTATACAAGTGACCACCAAATTCAAAAAACATCGGCTTATCCTCATCGCCGACGATGCATAGACGCATAATACAACGTCCCTGCTTGCGAAAAAATTTCACTAACAAAAACTGCAGCGGCAACAAGCTGACCAGTTGAAAGGTTTCTATTTCGGGATCCATGCTATGATAGCCATAATTATCCATATCTGTCAGATCGAAATCGTCGCAGCCGAAGATGATTTTTGATGGTGTGAGGCCTTTTAATTGTGTTAGTTAAATTCAATCAGTAGCAAAAAAAAAAAAAAAGTTCATTTTAATACAGATTTGAACTTGTCGCTATTGAGCTTGCTTACCAATGTGATATTGTCTGATACCTTGCCCATCTTCGGTCACTTGCGTAAATGGATTCTCTACAATTACAGGCTCGTAGATTTCACGAAATTCTTCGAGTAGCAATTTTTGTATGCGAAACATTTTGTGTTAATTTTTGTATTTTGTATATGTTTTTCTTTTTGATTTTGCCTTCATAAGAAGTGACAGAAGCAGAAGTTTACGTCGCTCAAAACAAGGTGTGTCAAATACATTTTGTCTCAAACATATTTTAGGACAGGGTATTTTGAAAATTTAAAATTTCAAAAATTTGGATACTTAATCGGTTATTCGGTAGTCGAAAAAGTTATTGTGGAGTTCTCAGAGTACAGGTTCTACGCTTTTCAGGCTTTCAGCAATAGCTGAATTGTATAGTTGGAAGCCTTAAAAGCGCGGAATGCCTGAAAAGCTTGTTGTGGAGTTGTACTCTAATATTTCCAATGATTTTTATTTAACCAAATACATATGTATACAAGCCAAATAAATTGTAGAATTGTAGAATTGTGTTGGGTTTTGGGTGAAAAACTGAATCAAGTCAAGGCGAAGGAAAAATTTGGCTTTTCTGGCAACACTGCTCGCGCTGGAAAAAATTGCATCTTTTATTATGTCCAAGGCATATCATGTCTAAAAACGCGCATCTATACAAGGTGGTGTTACTAAGTTACTTACTTACTATAACAGAAATTTTCGTCTCTACACTAGTACAGCAGAATGTCATCCAAGACGAAATGGCGCAGCTGTAGGATGTCAACAAAATGAAATTGCGAAAATTATCTCCCATTTGCTTTCGTTTTGACATCCTCATGTACCAACAAGTAGTAACAAAATACACGAGATTTTAACTTATCTGCGGTTGCCACCTCCTTATATGGATGCCCCTTGATGGCTAATATTTTCATATCTCTAATCTTATTCCGAATTTTCGTCACTTAGAATTGAGGGGGAGCAAAAAAAAATGTGCAAATAAAAGCTGTAAGGATTTTTAGCTAATCGAGATGGAACTTATGCCGAGAAGAAGACCCATCTACACACCGAAGACGATATAAATATTCTAGAAATGGTTGAAAAATCGAAAATAACCATTAAATGCAAAAACTTATATTTTTCGTTCATTTTAAAATCGATATTTTTTATTTCTACTTTTTCAATCAAGAATAATCGTAAGGTTTTTTCGATAAATTTTTGCCGTTATAATGAAGACTGCATTTTATTATTTATTAAATCTGAAAACGTGAGTGGCGTAGCCAGGATTTGGCGAAGGGGGGGATTAAAAAAAAAAATGCATCGATAACTTAAAGTTGTGATACACAATGGCTAGAGGCGTCGCCTGGAGGCATTCTTTCATATATGTATGTATGTGCCATTTTTACCGTTATATATTTTTTGTCTACTCGGTTATTCCATGGGGAATTCATGCTTTATTTAAATTTAAAAAATTAAATTACTACACCATTTTAATTAATTAGTGTGTAGTCCAGTTTTGTTTTGTAGACGTTTCGTTAGTATACACTTCAGTTTTTACACATTGAATATATCCGCATATTTATATATTAACGCGTATCTATTTACATTTATTTATGTACAAGTCTACAAAATCTTCTTAGTTATAAAACGAGTTTTAATCTTCGTTGCTTAACACAACACATTTTTATACCCGAGCGCGCTTGTGCACAAGGGTATTATAACTTTGTTCACATAACGGTTGTTTGTGACAGGCAAAACTAATCGAGATAGATATAGACAAATGTATACATAAATGATCAGAATGAAAAGAGAAGTCGATTAAGCGGTGACTGTCTGTCCGTCCGTCCGTCTGTGCACACGATAACTCGAGTAAAAATTGAGATATCTTAACGAAACTTGGTACGTGCCCTTCTTTCGGGCGTAGGTATTGAAAATGGGTAAAATCGGACAATAACCACGCCCACCTCCCATATAACGGTAGTTTTCAGAAATACGGAAACTGCGTTATTTTAGTAAATACTGAAGATTATTCACTCAAAGTTGATATTTACAATAATTTTTAGACGAGAAATAAGAATATTATAAATTTTTATAAAATGGGCGTTAACACGCCCACTTATGGTTACAATTGTATATCTTGGTAACCGCTGCACCAATTTCTTCCAACCTTGGCACAGCTGTTGGCCTTGGTACAGCATAAAAAATCGCCGAAACTTTTTAAAATCGGACAATAACCACGCCCACATCCCATATAACGGTAATTTAGAGAAATACAAAATCTTCGATAAATCAGTAAATATTGAAGCTAATTTATTCAAAATTGATGCTTGCAAAAATTCTTCATCAAGAAATACATTTATAGTAAAATTTTGGAAAATGGGCGTGGCACCGCCCACTTATGATCACATATATGTATCTCGGTAACCGTTCTACCAATTTGTACCAAAGTCACAATGGTTATTGTGCTTGCCACATAAAAGCAAAACGTTGAAAATTATTGAAATCGGACTAAAATTGAGGCCGCTTTTTATATAATGGTAAATTTCAGAAATGCTTGAAACTTCAATATTTCAAAATTTAACGACGCTAATTTACTTAAAATTAATACACCATGGCTTACCAAGTAGCTTTCGGAAAGGTGAAAAACATATATTTAATATTTTCGCCGGGTATTTAATGTTCGGCTCCGCCCGAACTTAGACTTTCTCACTTGTTTCAATTACTTCTTGTGTTGTAATCGGGACATCATTATTTCAAGCTAACATCGTTAAACCATTCAGCCGCTCCTTAATTGTATAAAAAGAAGGGACAAATAAGATAGCATATTCAACAATTGAGTAGTCCACTTGCAAAGTGCGCTATGGAAATTTTTTTCGATTTTTAGTTTTGGTGGGTTTCATGTCCACTAACAGCAGAGCGAAAAATTTTTCCATATTCTGAAAAAAATAGCATGGAATGTTAACTACTCTTCGCTACAATACTTATTTATACACTTTCAAAAGTCTCCTCTTCGTATGAACTTAGAAAACTGCAAGAAAACGTGGTAGTTTCGGTGCCTAGTGGAAGAGGTCGCAAAAAAGAAGCAAACCAATCTTCCTAGAGGAGAGAATGCGAAAAGCTAAAAAAGCTAGCTATGTAAAAGTTACTGTTTCAAAACTTGCAATATTAAATTTTCAAATATAAAATTTGCAAATCTACCATACTGCAATTCTATTTTTTTAATGGTATTAGGCTCTTATTTATCCAAATTTTCAGGTAACAAAAAAAAAGATACAGTTCGGATGTTACTTGTTGTCGTAGACGTTTTTTTTTAATTTATGGCTTACTTTTATAAAATCACATAACGCTGTTTGCAAGTGGACTACTCATATATTCATTAGAAGATAATTTGTTATCCGTCTGAAATAAAAAAATTTTAAATCAGAAGGATAAAATAGTATTGTGCTATTAATTCAAAAGTAAATAATTGTAGTTCAATGACGAAGGGAGGAGGGTATCTATCCCCCCAAATCCCCCTCCCCCCTGGCTAAGCCACTGGAAAACGTTATCAAATATTATTAAATTTCACAAAGATATTCAATTATGGTAATTAACATTGATATTCCAATATGCTACCTTCGTTTTCCATACATATGTACATACATACCCAGTCGTAAAACCCTACAGGTGAAATGATTGATCTACTTCTAGGTATCTGAGGCTTGCACGTGGAGTTAAATGTTTGAGGTTCCCTCCAAGTGCTGCCGTGTTTTATTTCCATTCCATCTCTATAATAAAAACTCGATGTGAGGAGTTTTTCCTGGTCATTGTTCCATTGGAAGCCTGGCTGGCATCTTGGACAACAAAACTATAATTTTCTGCAAAATCACACTGTACGATGACTTCTCCTTCGTCTAAATTTTCCCTAAGATTTTTAAAATAAAGCGACTGTTCTTCGGCAATGTAAGCATGTGGTTTCAGAGTGTCCAGGGCAGGGCAGGTAGAATTTGAGTGGAGACCAATGCAGAGCACACTCTTGAACTAACTACACCTGAGGCTATATATTGAAAAAGAAAATTAAAAAAAATAATTGGTCGACATTTCGCAAATTTTTGTTTTATTTTCACTTCCGGTGTGGTATAACAAAAAAAAATTTTTTTTAAATTTATTTCGCATTTTAAAAAGCGAGAAATTTTCTCAGCAAATCGCGAAGTTTAAAAATTGTTCGAATTTTTTTTCAATACAAAAAAGATACTTTAGAAAAAACCTAATTTTAGTTTTTACTATTCTTTGGAAGCCCATAACCATCATATAAAGAAAAAAATATGCACACAATTTCATATTTCACACAGGTACAATTATCCAAAATATGAAGGAATTCTAAAGCATCACCCTTTTTTCCCTGTCCGCTTGACGCGAAACGCCCCAAATGCATAACCTTCAGTTTTGTTTAAAGAACAATAATCATCGCGAAATCGTATTTAAATAAAAACTTAAAACAGATATACTAAAAAAGCAAAAATAACCACTCATGCTCATATACTTGTAGTTGCGTATGTAACGTATACGCCCCGTAGCACCGTACGTAGTCATCTAACACGTTTACTCACACGCCTTAAATTAAAAGTCATATTATTTGAAAGCAATTAAATATTGGCGGGGGAGATTTTCACACAATATTCCTTATGCACATACACATTACTTTCTTAATGTACTGCTATAACAGTTTTAAAATGAATTTAGAGTCCGCCAATAAAAAATGTAAAAATGGAGTTTTAGTTTCTCAAATCATAGTCATCTTTTACTCAATGAAAATTTTTTTTTTTTGGTAACACACTAGTTTTATTACACTAGATTCATTCGTTTTGGCAACAACAACATTTTCACTGCTTAATTTTAACATTTTGAATTATCAAAAAATTATTAAAACTAAAAAAACTTTAAATTTCAAAAATTACAAACTAGCTGTGACTGATATTCTGCATGCTGCCATTTTTTTTAACTTCGTGGTTTACTCTTGAAACTTCACAGAAATGTTGTATTTGGGATTCCCTCTATATGAACATTATATTTGAAAACTTCCCAAAGTTATTAAAAAACAATTATGATTTTTTTCGAGTAACAATGAAAAAATTCGTAATTTCGGTACTTTTTCGCCAAAATAAACGTTTTAAGGCTAAAATTTTTCATATAACTAATTTACTTTTTATTGTACTTCTTTCTGGAACTCCATTGATTGAAATAAATGCAAGAAGAATGTTTTTTTTCTGTTGCGAGCAGGGAGTGACACTAAAAAAAAAGAAAACAACTCGTGAGATGTGCTCATATGCGCAGGAGCCAGAAAAAAATTCTAAGCAGTGAGAAAAAAAAAAACAATTTCTTCGCGCAAGAAGCAACTCGAGGCAAATGGCCGTTTGTTTCTTTACAATCATGGGTCATGTGGTTACATATAATGGCATAAAAGAACGTAGAAGAGTTTATTTATTGGGGGTACATAATCATTTGTTTGTTTGTGTTTCATCAAATTATTTTTTAATCACTCAAAACATCAAATTGATTTTTCATCCGCCGCAGAGTCCTGATTTGATACCTAAGGGGTTTTTTTTCTGAAAAGAAAAAAGAAAGGCTTAAAGAAATGGATGCCGGTGATCTAGACTTTGGAAAACACAACTATGCACTTAGGTGATTCTCTTGGCAAGCTAGAAAACTCGAAATTTTCAAAGCTTTTTCTAGTTGAACCATATTTTTCAAATCGAAATTTGGCCTTAAAACTGCCAATGGCATAACTAGCAGCATTTTAAATAGTGTAAATAATTTAAAATCCACTAACCGATATTTATTTAACCAAATGCTGTAGAGTAAAGAAATACTCGTTGTCATGAGAAGCGTTGAATGATCATCATGATTATTATGATCAATATGAAATCAATAATCATGATCACATTGATCTTCATGCTCTCCGTATATGTACAGGTGTGTGTGTGTGTGTGTGTGTGTGTGTGTGCCACTCTGTAGCTCATAATAATGGCGAGTAAAACCAGCGGATTACACAACACAATTTATACTGCCCCAACAACAAACTTCAAGTATGTTTGTAAGTTAAAAACAAACAAAATAAACGATAAAGCAAACAAATGAAATTGTGTGAGAAAGGTAAAAATGCAAGAAGTGGTAAGTATGTACACATGTACTTTAGGGTGCATACCCGCCATGAAAACAAAAAAACATTGATACGGTTATTCCGTCAAAAAAATAAAACTTATTATATATTAATAATTCGGAAAAATATTAAGATTTACAAGAGCTGGACCTATTTAAAAAACTTCCCAAGATCGAGTTTTTTTATAAATAGAGTGAGTTTTTTAAAAATATTTTTTTTTTAACTTACGTGGCGTGCATAAAACTGCTTAAAAATTTTATCAACGAAGTCAATATAATGAGATTTTGGATGTACTTTCAAACCGGTCTAGCTCACGTGAGTCTTATAGCGTCTTCTTTTCTCGAATGTTGTATTTATTCCACCCTGCGCCCGGGCTGTCAAGTTTTCGAACTCTTTTCTCAGCATATTGCGTGCTCACTCTTTAAAATATTGCCATATAGGAAGGTGAAAGGAAAACACCATTAATGATTTTCCGAAATATTTTGGAAGCCTTAAAATATAATAAATCTTACAATTCCAGTGGAAAAAGCGCTATTTTTTTTTTGTGAAGCACCCTAATGTATATGTACATGTTTTTAGGTATTTTGTCGTGAGAAATTGAAGAAGATACTTTTGCCGAGTTACTTTTAAGCGAGTTGTTAACACAATAAATGGTGGGTCAATTCCGCATGTAACCATATATGTACATATGTACATATGTTCACATGTTTGTCAAAACTCATACATAACTCAGAAAGCAGTGGAGTAGGAAACTCATGATAATGATAATAAACCCGATTGTTGCGATGAGATATCTGCACTTTTACACACGCACCATGCGCGCGGCTCACCTCGTACCAAAACTGGTCCAGACGAATTACAATATTTGGGCAAAACTAGCCTAGTCTACATCCAAATGACCAGTCAACAGACCAGTGGGCCACTGGAACAATATCTAAGTAATTGTAGACAATTAAAGTCGAAATTAAAAAATCTACTAAACTTGTCAGAGTTGCCTGCAGATTGTCACATTTCCTTCCTCATTTTTTTACAAAGCTCTGCAACCAGACACTTATTGCGGATGCGAAACTACGCAGGTTGTTGGTCAGCGAGCATATAGCGCATGGGTGTGCGTGTGTGTGTGTGTGTGTTTGTGTGTGTGGTCGCGTGCGTGTAAGCGCAGTAATGCGATCGTATTTTAACGAGCGTCTGGAAGCCAAGTTTACAAAAAATATCGTTAACAACAACAACAACAAGCGGCTTAAACAAACGTTAAATTTTTCGAAATGACTTACACATTGGGATGCACATACATATACACCATCGACGGCTATGTGGTAATGTTCAAGGCGCGAACCAAACCAATAAAACGCTTGCCTTCAACAGTTCAGTTGAATTTTTGAGCTTGAAGTTGCGCGTGCGCATGCGCTTTTAACATTGCATTGCGGTCGTCGGAGGGAGAGTGATTAAAATTTAAATTCAATTAAATACTTAATAAAATCTAAAATTCAAAGAGCTTAAAATGTTAAATGTGCCTATTGTGTCACAGCTCATGGCATTTTGGCTGCTTTTAACGCTTCATGCACAAGCGCATCCAATTACCAGCAATAATGATGCAGCATTTGCGCAATCAGTGGTGGACAAAAGCCAGGGTCTGCTTGAGGCTGAAAGCGACACCGCCCAAAACGTAGCCATCGTAGCTGACGATGCGAACCCAGCCGCTGACAATAGTCCAAACTTTCGTGTCGATGAAACCCAGTTGGCTGAGTACACTGTGCACTCGCAGGCAGAGGATGACGGCAGCAGCAGCAGCAGCAGCAGCTCAGGCGGATTTAGGGTGCGCAGAGTCAAAGCATTTAAACTGTCATTTATGAATTAAAATTTTTGTTTTGTTTTTTGCCTCTTTACCTCTTCGCCGTTTGCAGATATCTTTGCTGCCAACACAAGAAAAAACTGCCGAGTCAGTGAATTTGGAAAAGGAAGCCATACCATCGAAGATTTATAGCACATATGACAAGACTCAGAAGAAAGTAGCCGATTTGGCCAATGTAAGTACATACATACATACACAGTACATGCTAACACGACCTACACCTGCATACATACAATCACTTACCTGTAAAGCTTTTTGTCAAAGACCATGTAAAAATACTTTTCTTCAACATTAGTGCCTCCGTACATACATATATATTAATATGTGAATTGCATTTGTTTTTAATTTCCTTTTTATTTATCTTTTATTACTTTTATTTCTGCAGCTGGAACCCATTGTGGACACAATAAGTGAGCATGAAAAGTACGGCAATAACGGTGATATGTTCGATGGCTTAGCGCGCTCTATTGTGAATGGCTATGAGGCTTTTTCAAATATTCTCAATGCTTTTATACAAGTAAGTAAAGCTTTTGTGCTTATTTATGTTAAATGTTTGATAATGAATATGCCTTCGATATGAAGATGTGTACTTAAATCAAAGAGAAAAAGGAGTATATTGATTTTGTGTGTGTGTAGAATTTTCAGTTGCACACTGTTATTACTTAATGCTTTCTTGTACTCAGCATTGATGTTTCTAGCAATCGGGCAATCGAGAAGTATATATTTTCGATAATGCCTAACATGTACAGCCGATTGTATTTCTGCCTTAAAAAAGAGCTTTTGATAAAAAAACATACAGTCGCCGTTCGGAGTCGACGTAAAACTGTAGGTCGCTCCCCTTTGTGTGACAACATCAAATCGAAGAAGAAGCTCGGCCAAAAACTAACATATGTGTAATCGCGATTCTTTTATTATTATTAATGCCCTCTAATACCCAAGCCCTCCTGCAGGCGGTCTTCACAAAAATCGTACTGGCGGCAAATGTAAACGATTTTATATTAAACAAGATTTTTTACAATAACTAATGGGTATGGCAAAATATTTTCAGAAGCTTTGCAAGCTATCAAAAGCTTTCTTTTATCACTTTCGCTCCACTTTGCAAAAGCCATGCACAGTTGCAACGAAAAAAGTTGTGCTTGTAAATGCTGTGTTATCAAACATTCATTCTATTTTGGTTTTGAGTTTCTCTAACGCAAAAATAACGTTTTTTTCCAGCAGGTGTGCTTATCTGTTATTATTTTGAAATGTGTTTTGGTTGAATAAAAGCCAGTAGAGCTTTAGAGCAGAGATTTCTTGATGAGTGCCTCAGTTAAATGTTCTCATGTCACAGCTAAACCCATGACTGTACTGGCTCAAAGAACTTTTTTTGCAAATCAGAAGCCCAAATTTATCCGAAAACGCTTATTTGCCAAAATCTATGTTCGCCATTTTAAAAACGGTCATTTTATTATATTTGCTAATTAAACTACTAAATTTATTTACATATTTAGATGGCAGCACTGTTCTTTGAACTATACCTGAAATTGTTTCTTAAAATTCGCTCTTTTTTACAGAAACCCAAAGACCTTGCACGCTCTATTTCGAAAGGTATCACCGCGCAACTGGATATCATTGGCGGAAAAATTGTGGGACTGTGAATGTAATGTATTTACAACTTCACATATACATACATAAGCTAATATTTAAGTCCAAAAATGCTGTTAATTGTTCTTGTTGATGTTAATGTTATTTTTATTTTTACTTTTTCAATAAATAATTTATTATTTTAACATTAAATTCTTAATTTTGGTTTCTGCTTGCGTACTGATTACATGAAACAAGAATTTAAGCATAAAACTAAAATGTATTTAACATCGTTTAACAAATACAAAAAAAAAATCAACGGATGACTTTAATTTGAACATATGTACATACATTCGGTAGTCCGAGGCCGAGTATGCACTTGAGTTCGACGTTAGCATTTATGTAGATGCGTACATACTTATACCTAAGAACACTACAATCAGGATGAAAATTCTGCGTTATAAGATTTGTTAATTTTTTTTTTTTAATTTTCTAATAATTATACATTCGTATTAATCACCTATTTCAATTGACAAATGCTTTAGCTAAGTGTATTTTCTAAAATTCAGAAATTCCTTATGAGGGGTCTAAATTTTCCAAACCTCATTATGTTTTTTCTCAGAATTTTTAATCTGCAAAAACACATTTTTCAAGGTGTTCGTATTATAGAATATAGATTTGAACGCTAATTGGCAGTTTATGCAGTAGAATTAATAAAAAATTGCATTGCAAATTCGTTAAGCTCTTGAATAACGAAATGCAATAATAAAAGAAATTTAGCAGGCGGGCATTCGTTCTTCTCTGCAATGTCTGAAATGCTGGTTTTTAATATTCGGCCCACTATAAATTACGTAAAACATCTCTGTAGATAACTTACTAAATATTTTTGGCACAATTTGCATACATGTTATATCTATGTATGTGTGTGTATGTATAATATAATACTAAAAATCGTTTACGATTACTATATCAAATATATGTATTTTAATGACTAATCCTAATCGTTTCTCACTTCATTAGTTCGTAGATAAATAGTATCTTAATTTAAATGCCATTAATCAATAAGATATGATAAGAATACTATCGTTGCATTCAGCACAACGCTAAAGTCGGCTTCAGTCCTCCCAACTACTCGTTCGTGTTTGCGGATCAATCGATGGCGAATAGGATTTATAGGTCTCCGTTTCCTTTTTGTGTTTTACGGTGCAGAAGAGCAGCATCGACGTAATTAAGCCGAAGAGTTGTACGAATGCAATGCCCAAGGCAACAGCACCAACCACATTCAGTTGACCTTGGAACCAGGCTTGCAATGAATGCGCGCAACCCCTACTCCACCAGAGGCTGGGATTTTCGGATCTAAAAAAATAAGAAAGGATGTGAGAACAAATTGGTTTGTATATATGTATGTAAATGAAAGATCAATACTAATTTAATTTGGAGAAGCAGAGGTTGTTTGTTATCGCTTTTCATATTAAAAAATTACATATATGTACATTAGGGTGGTGATAAAAATGTAAACATCTTAATTTTTTATGGCGCACCCCTTTATTTTGTGCTACGTACAAATAAAGACAGCTAGGAATATTTAAAATTTTAGACAAACTTTTAGGGGTCACTACCAGGTTTTGAACAAATGTATATATTTTAAATCGCAAAAAATCAACAAAATGTTGACTCGAAATCTGAAAAATTTTACTTATTAATAAAACTAATTCAAATTAATTCATAAACTCGCTGAACTATAGCTGATCAAAATACAAATTAATTTTTTTCAAACCCTAAGCGACACCAAAATTTTATTTTTTAATATTGACATTTTTGTGGACCTCATTATTTTTCACGTGACCTCTGCTCAAATTACATCAATATTCACACGTCCAGATCGTTCAGTTTGGGCCGTTGATATGGACGGCCTTATTAACGTCATTTTCGAAAAGAGATGGGCCAATGATGCTGATGCACCAAGCTCAGCACTAAACAGTAATTTTTTTCAGATGCTCTACAAGCAGTGCCGGTTTAAGGGCGGGCCGACGGGGCCGCAGCCTAGAGCCCCCACATGTGATAACGAGGGAACAATAAAAATATTTTTTCAGAGATTACAGAAAAGATCCCTAGGTATTAAGAATATTTGTCAGCACCATCAATACATCTTGCGGAACCTAGCTTAGCGCCTCCTGGCTCTGACCAAATTCTCGACTTACCCAATAATGGACATTTCCGTAGAATGCTGGAACTAATAGCTCAGAATGACTCCCGGACATGTAAAAGAATACGGAAATAAGGGACGAGGGCGAGTGAATTATTTATCCTCAACTACCAGCGATAAATAATATCTTTGAAGGGTGAGAAATTACAGGCAGAAATACACAAGGCTGCCGTGGTCAGTTGGTTAATACTGGATGCAACATGAGCGACAAGTACAAAGGAATTCAGGCGAGAATTTTAAAAGAAAACACGTGATTAGAAGTTAATAATTAACTATACATGCTGTTGAAATGAAAATATAATAATTTTTCAAATTAATTGTATTTAATTACTAGCTCAAAAAGGCGCCCCCACATTCTAAATCCGGCTCTGCCTACAAGCTTTGTTTTCCGAGTCTTCTAAAAAGTACAGAAATTTTAAAGAATTTGTATAGATCTCATTAATTCCCTTTTTTGATTATTTACCGAACTTTCTAAAACAAAATACTATGTACACACTTCCATGCTTTTACGAAATTTCGGAAGAAAATCGGTAAAGTAATGAGAACTGTGTTTACAGGAGGATTCATACCTCTACTTCAGAAGTTTTATTCCATGTGGTTGTTGTTATAATTATTTAAAATAAAAGCTCAGCATAAGAAAAATATGTGTAAAACACTTGAACTTCAAACTTCAAATTACGAATTAAATTTTATTAATGTTGGCAACGCCGCACGTTATCATTTTGATAGAACGAAAAGTGCAGAACTATTGAATTAATCTACCTTCAGGCATTTCCTTTCGTGAGCAATGAATCCGCCTTCAGAAATTCTACAGAAATTCCTTTCAGAGTTCGTGTCATCCACTTTATTTTATTTTCGTTGAAGGGTCGTAAAAAATCTTTAAACAATTTGGATACTCTTAAAGATTTCGGGAACTTTGGTTTTGCAAGGTTGTTATACCTGATTCCTTATTCCTACAGTACAGCCTTGAGAAACGCCGCCAAAACGACAATTCCTATAAGTATAACTAGTATGAAGACTTTCAAATATGTAAATTTTTTTGTATCCAATTGTCACTGATTGAACTTAGTAAACAAAATTTATCAGTGACTTGAACAAAATCTAGGAACCACTTTCCACAGATCTAAAAAGTAACGGGAGTTCATCAGGAGAAATTAAGTAAGTAATTAAGCTTAATAAGAGAATTTCCAAACAACATGTGTAAGTGCCAAAATTTACAATTGTACAAATCGTTTAATCCTTGCTTAAACCCAGAATAAATATTTATAAATTGTTATTACTTCTGAGGCGATAGGAACCTCTGTTAAGTAACTTTTGTAACACTTATATATAAGAATACATATAATAATGAGACTTTACTTACTTCCCACAATCGACTCGCAGAAAACTGTCTCCAGAACCCTCGGTCAATATGCTACGCGCCTCCGAAGGCCGACAACACGACTCGGGTACCCAACGTTTGCCACTCCACGACTGAATATCATACCAGTCTTCATACGAGGATACGCCACAGCATTCGAACTATAAACATTAAAATAAAATCATTCTATTTAGTGGGCATTTGGCTTAAGAAATCCTTCTTCCACTCACCGATTGCTGTACACTGTCCCAAATGGCGGCCACAGATGGCGCCACCAAACTGCCACGATCCGAAGCGTTATAATGTAGCTCGATGCCGAAACGTAACTCATTGGCAAAAGTGCGCCCTAAACCGCCGCGGAAGAGGAAGGCAATAGAGCCAATCAGAAACTCGCTCAGGAAGAGCATAACAATCAACAGGAAGTACTACAATGGAAGAACAAAAAAAAAAAATGTATTAAATTCACCCAAGCAGTGACAATAAAAATTAACAGCATAAACATTTCCACTACAGCTAAAGCTTACCAGCACTAAGAAACAACGCGATTGCACCCAAGCTCCACAGCAGCCAAAAAATGAGACAACAAAGCCGACCACACCGATCGCTAAGAAAATCGACTCGGCGCTTAAGACGTGATGATCAGGCAGCAGTGTGGCGTAGCCCTCATACGACAGCCGCAGCCAGACTCCGACACCAAGAAAAGCGCAACTGCAAAGCTGAAAAAAAAAAGTTTGATTGCGGAATTGCTTGAGAATGTTAAGTGGGTTTTTGTGCGTTCTAATGAGTTGCAAAGAAATGCATTTGCCCAATTTTAAGCCGCTGAGGCAATTGTGGCGACACGTTTTTTTACTAAAAAAAAAAAACAATCGCTACTCTGCCAAATTGGGCAACTTATGCAAAACAAACTTAATCAAGTAGAGTAAATTTACTGTAATTTTCATTCAAATATAATCATTAAATGAAGTATTGCATGTGCAGCGCTCATTAGCAGCGACACGTCGCCGACCGTCATTGCACCTCCATATGTACATACATACATACATATGTACATACTTATGTATCTCACATGCCAGCAGAGTCTATAAAGTTTGCACAATAAATACTACGCTGGTGTTGACGCCGGTTTCGGTGTCCATTGTATGCAATCATGCACGCCTCCATTCTCACAGACATTTTCTTATGCTCTGCTTTGTTAACTTATTGGGTGCATTATTGTTGCTATTGCCGCGCATTATAGTTAGTGTATATGTATAGTTCGAAAATCGGAAAACACATCAATTTCCGCTGCAGACGCATCTATATGTATGAATGTATGTTTGCCGGCATTGGTGGCAGCAAGAAAAGGTGAACAACACTTCAGCTACACACATACATATGTACATATGTATATGTACGTAATTACCTGCCGTGAAGCGCATCGTCATTTTTGGCTCATTAAAGCATCAACACAATTCTCATTATTCAAAAATCGTATTTCAATGTGTGGGAAAATGTGAGGCTGGCATTGAAATCTTATTAGCCTTTCAACATATGCATGTGCATAAGGGTGGTTCAAAAACACATGCTGGGGGGTAATGA